GTCCTACATGTGGCTCATGGCTACTATATTAGACAGGTGTAGAACATTTCCATCATTGCAGAAAGTCCTGTGGGACGGTGTTGGTCTAGAGAAAAAAAAGAAAGGTAGAAGAAAGGCATTCCAGGTAGAAGGAACAAAATATGGAGGACTCAGAGATCTGAGACTGCATGACTGATCCTGGGGACCACAAGTAGTTCAGAGCAGCTAAAGAAAAGAGTGTGTGGGAACGGGGAGAAGGGAGATATGTCTGAACAAACAGGCAGCTGTCCGTTAACAAAACGTCTTTGGTGCTAAGCTAAGGAGTTTACACTCTAGCCTGAAAGCGACTGGGAGCCCCAGAAGGATTTGAAACAGGAGCCTGATGGCATCCTCTCTGCATTTTAATAAGACCTCTCTGGTAGCCAGCTGGGTGGAGGCTTGATTAGCGGGGACCAGTCAGGAGGTAGGGAGACCAGTTCCGAGAATATTGCAGTCGCCTGAGAGAGAAGTAAGAGAAGTTTGAAATAAGATAGTGGCAGTGGCATTGGCACAGAGAGAGGACAGAGTGAAGAGATGTGAACGACTGGAGACTCATTGTGCCTGGCCCCTTGAAGGTGCTTTGTAAGTGTTTGTTGACTGAATGAATGAAATATAGCTAAACCCAGACTGTGCAGCTGGGTGCTCATCCACTGGGCCCATGTGGTATGTCTATTCTACAGGCATGGAGGTATAGTGGCATTCCTTTTCAGCTGAAGAAGAAAAAGGCAACAGGGAAAAAGAGGAGAGAGAGACGAGATGTGGAGGGGAAGGTTGGCATCACTGCCCTGTTGGTGAAGAGGGGACTTGGGTGAGAAGGGGAACAAGCTGTGCTCATGAAAGACTGTGGGGGACCCTGGCCCCAAGCAGTGCCTCTCTGGGACCCACGGACAAGGCTACTCAGAGTTGGGACACAGGCCACTCTCCATCCCATCTCTCCATGCCTCCCCTTGCTGTATGGACTGCAGGGTAGATTTGGTTTCTTGATGGATCACCACCAGCAGAGAAATGGGGCACATAGGGAGTTCACAGCATCAGGGAAGGTATGGTCAGCAGAAGGTATGCAGAGGCAACAGAACACAGCCAGAGGAGAGGGCAGGATGTCTAGCACCTAAACATATGGGCAACAGCAGCCTCTCTCCCTTGGACTCTCAGAAGTAACCTGAAATGGCTAAAAGCTACTGTAACTTGGGCATCAATGTTAATATGAGCTTGTTTGCACCTCTGCGTCTGTAAGGCCTGGGACATTTGGGTTACAGAATGAATGAATAGATGAGATGTAGTAGGTTTCACTTACTCATTCAGTGAATAAATATTTATCGAGCCTCTGTGTGCCATGCACAGTGCTAGATGCTGGGTGTACAACAGTTTACAAAACTGATGTGATCCCTGCCCTCATGCAGCTTACAGTCTAATAGTCCTACAGTTCAGTCTAGTGTCATCATCTGTGTACATGCTATTCAGGAAAAGCAAAGGGTGCCATGAGATAGACTAAGGGGGAGGGTTATTTTAGAATAGGGGTTAGGGAAGATGTCTTTGAGAAAGTGGCATTTAAACAGAGACCTGGACATGGCCAGGAGTTAGCAGGTGACAAGCAGCAGGTGTGCATTTCAGCAGAGGGAGCAGAAGGGTGAACGGCTTGGGGCAAATCCTTAGCCTTCTGGAGACTGGAAGAAGGCCTGTGGGGCAGGGGCATGAGAGCAATGGGGAGAGGGCAGAAGATGAGGCTGGAAAAAGAGGGGACTAGATCTTACAGGGCTATGTGAGGACTTATTTGAACTTAAGTGTAATGGGAAGGGGAGTGATGTGATCAGATTTATTTTTTACAGTGATTGTTCTGGCTTCTGTGCGAAGAATGGATTGGAAGGAGACAAGAGGAAATGCAGGGATGACCCAGCAATTCCACTCCTAGATATAAACCCAAAAGACTTGAAAGCAGGGACTCAAACAGATACTTGTACACCAATGCTCATTGCAGCATTATTCACAATAGCCAAAAGGTAGAAACAACCCAAGTGCCCATCAACAGATGAATGGATAAACAAAATATGGTCTATCCATACAATGAAATATTATTCAGCCATAAAGAGAAAGGAAGTTCTGATACATGCTATGATATGGATGAACCTTGAAAACATGCTGAGTGAAATAAGTCCGACACACAAAAGTACAAGTCAAACTTATATGAAATATCTAGAATAGATAAATGCATAGAAACTCAAATTTATTAGTGATTACCAGGAGCTGGAGGTGTTTCCCCAAGGGAAAATGGAGAGTTATTGCTTAAGGGGTACTGAGTTTCTGTTTGGGGTGATGAAAAGCTTTTGGAAATACATAGCGGTGATGGTTGCACAACATGGTGAATATAATCAATGTCACTGAAATGTACACTTAAAAAGTGGTTAAAATGTTTTTGTTATACTTTACCACCATAAAAATTTTAAAAATAAGTAAATTAATTAAAAAGAGGGAATGCGCAGGGAGAAAACTGTGGAGGCAAATAAGTTGCCCAAGTGAGAGATGGTGATGACATGGTCATAGGGATGGAGAGAAGTAGAGGAACTTAAGAAATATTCAAAAGAAGAAGTGAGACAATAAATGCTGTTCTCACACCTGGTGGTGTAGACAGGCTGGAGTATTAACTTTAGACATGGCAAACAGGGAGAATATTTCGGCCATGTCAACCTGTCTCTGATGTGGGCTGTTTTGCTTAGTGCTTTATGACTTCTCTGGGTTAGCTGAGATCTCATGATGTCATGTGGGCCATTTCCCTGCCTCCAACCAGGGCCACACAGGACGGGCGTCAATGTTATGTTTAAAGATTTCCTGAGAAAACTTTCCCAATGTCTTCTGTAACCTCTGCTCATGTTTACAATAATTTCTAGTAGGAAATTCCCACGTATATTTCATCTGAATGCCTCTTATGCTAAGGTTATTCGTTTCCTGATGGAGATGAAGATGTTAAGATAATAAGTCACCTGGGCTGCCAAATATGAATGATGTCATACAGCCAAAGTAACTTCTTCATTAACAACAACGAAAATGCCTGAATATCCCCAGAAAAGGAATCCATTTCAATTTTTGTAGGAGATGTTTAGCTTGCTGCCAAATTCCTTGCCCTAGCTACTCAAAGTGTGGTCCGTGGACCATCAACATCACCTGGAGCTAGTTAGAAATGCAGAACTGAATCAGAACCACATTTTAACATGATCCCAGGTAATTCGCAGGCACATTATATTGTGAGAAGCACCTCCACCTTAGATTACCCCAAGGTGATCTAAAAGTGCGTGGGCAGTGGCCGGCGCTAGCTGTTTGAAAGGCAGCGTGCCTCAGCAAGTGGTTAGGAAAACCCAACTGGTTCAACAGGAACTGGCTTTTCTCTGGAAGTCCCTTGATCTCAAGTCATGCAGACTATTTCAGCTGAACTCAGAGACTGCGTGCTGTTTGCTGGTTGTGTGACTGGCAAGAGACATCACAATGCTGTCAGGTGGAAACCTGGGGGTGATGTGGGGACAACTCCCTGAGTGCTCCCCCAGGCAGCACCAGAGACACAGGAGAGTCGAGGTTCCCAAGCCCCCAGTGTGGATGGTTTGGTGCTCGTACTCTTAGCTTGGTCCCTAAGAGTGCTTGTTCTCTGTGGGTGGCTTGGTTACTCTCTTGCTTTCTTCTGAATTGCAGGCACACTGATTAGCGGGAACAAAGCACTTTTAGCACCTCAATAAAAGTACCCCCACAATGCCCTTAGTGGAACAGAACACACTGGTTCCAGGGTTTCTGAGAGCTCCACTCACACTCCATGTGGTCAGCCTCTCCCCAGCAATGACACCTGCCACCCCTGGTGTCACCCCCACCCTCCACCTGAGTGGATGTGACACAGACAGCAGACACAACCTGGCAAAACAAGGGCACTTGTTTTATTGCTGCTTTCTTGAGAAGTGTTTCGAGGCACACAATCTATACAAGAACTAAGTCATTTCCCTCTGTCTTCTCTGGGGCTGGCCTTCCCACACAATCAGACAAATGGATGAAGTTGCTGGGCTGTTTAAAGCATACGGTGTGTAAATACTGTAAAATCAAAGATTACTTTTGTCTTATTTACTGTGCCATTTTCACATTACCTAGCACCAAAATAGCTTAATAGGTCTTCTTTGCCTTGGTTCTCTTTCTCCTGTTTCTTTTGTCTTTCTTTGTGGCGGATTCTTTTCTCCCCTGCCTTTCCCAGTGTTCATCCTCTCCACTCCAATTCTTCCTTTTCCCTCCCGTCCCTCCTTCCTGTCCTTTGTCTGCCCACTGACTCATTACCCCACGTCTTCCTCACTCGCCCTACTTAACCTCTTGCTCCCTCCCTCTTTGTGCCTCTCCTGCTGCTCCTTGGTCTTTTGAAATGTCTTCGCTGCCTCTTCCTTTCCCTGCTTTTATTTCCAAAGGCTGTTAGCTGCTCATCACTCACCCTCTACTCCCCCCTGCCTCTTCCAGGCTATTTTCTCTTCCCTCCCAAGACCCACCACAGAGTCCATTCTTTTTCCCTTGTTCTCGAAAGGCAACGTGGGGATCAGAGAATCATACAGCCAGAGTTGAAGGGACACAGCTTACGTTCTACTGACAGTTACTTCGGAGTCAGAAAAAACTCTTCTTCTCATAGCACCTTCAACAAT